ATAGTCGTAGTAGAAATAGAAATGGCGGTGGTCGTACTACAAATCGGACTACTAGTAGTAGTAGTAGTAGTAGTAGTAGTAGTAGTAGTAATAGTAGTAGTAGTAGAAGTAATAATAGTAGTAGTAGTAGTAGTAATAGTAGTAGTAGTGGTAGTAGCAGTAGTCGTGATAGTCGTAGTAATAGTAGTAGCACTAGTCGTAGTACTTGTAGTAATAATAGCAGTCGTAGTAGTAGTAGTAGTAGTAGTCGTCGTCGTCGTCGTCGTCGTCGTCGTCGTCGTCGTCGTAATAATAATCGTAATGATAGTCGTCGTCGTAATAGTAGTGGAACTAGATATAGTAGTGGTAGTCGGAGTCGTGATAGTGCTCGTAGTGGTCGCATTCGTGCTGGTAGTAGTTGTTGTAGTCGTGCTGGTCGTCGTAGTAGTAGTAGTAGTAGTAGTAGTAGTAGTAGTAGTAGTAGTAGCAGTAGCAGTAGCAGTAGCAGTAGTAGTAGTAGTTGTAGTAGCAGCAGACGTAAAAGGTAGCAGTGGTAGTGGCCGTAGTAGTAGTAGTCGTAGTCGTAGTAGTAGTATTAGTAGAAACGATAGTACTGGAACTGGTAGTATTTGCTGTAGCAGTAGTAACAGGAATGATAAAATTACCCTGGCGACGTACCCAACCCCTGCGCAAAAGCGGGGCGCAAATAGTTTAGGATACTTTATAAGGGGGCGATGACGGGGCGAGGGTTACATATGTCTGCAGACGGAATTCGGGAGACTCGCAGGACACTGGCTACAGGAAGAGGGCTTGATAAAGCTGATGATTTACAATTCCTGAGCACTCCTAGCCACTTCGCCAGGAGCAAAACGGGGATTCACAGCAGTTGCCAATGATAAAGTATTCAAATTGGGCGATTTCGGAACGCAAGGGAATGGCGAGGGTCTTCATTTGAATTGCCCGTGGCCCTCACTGTGCTGGGCCCCCCAGCAGGCCTCGAAAGTGGGGCAGTTTCGCAGATCGCAGCCCCCAGGGATGGCGAGGTCTAATTTGAATCCGCGCGTGGCCCTCACTGTGCGGGGCCCACAGCACGGCCTCGAAAATGGCGACAGTTTCGCCAGATCGCAGCCCCCAGGATGGCCGAGGTCTAATTTGAATCCGCGCGGGCCCTCACTGTGCTTGGGGCCCCTCAGCAGGCCTCCGAAAATGGCCTGGACAGTTTCGCAGGATCGCAGCCCCCCAGGGAAGGGCGAGGTTAATTTGAATCCGCGCGTGGCCCCTCACTGGCTGCGGCCCCCCCAGAGGCCTCGAAAATGGCGACAGTTTCGCAGATCGCAGCCCCCCAGGGATGGCGAGGTCTAATTTGAATCAGCGCGTGGCCCTCACTGTGCTGGGGCCCCCAGCAGGCCTCGAAAAGTGGCGACAGGTTCACAGATCGCAGCCCCGCAGGGATGGCGAGGTCTCATTTGAATCTGCCCGTGGCCCTCACTGTGCTGGGCCCCCCAGCAGGCCTCGAAAATGGCGGCAGTTTTGCAGATCGCAGCCCCCCAGGGATGGCGAGGTCTAATTTGAATCCGCGCGTGGCCCTCACTGTGCTGGGCCCCCCAGCAGGGCTCGAAAATGACGACAGTTTCGCAGATCGCAGCCCCCCAGGGATGGCGAGGTCTAATTTGAATCTGCCCGTGGCCCTCACTGTGCTGGGCCCCCCAGCAGGCCTCGAAAATGGCGACAGTTTCGCAGATCGCAGCCCCCCAGGGATGGCGAGGTCTAATTTGAATCCGCCCGTGGCCCTCACTGTGCTGGCCCCCCAGCAGGGCTCGAAAATGGCGACAGTTTCACAGATCGCAGCCCCCCAGGGATGGCGAGGTCTAATTTGGATCCGCCCGTGGCCATCACTGTGCTGGGCCCCCCAGCAGGTTTCGAAAATTGCGACAGTTTCACAGATCGCAGCCCCCCGCGGGCAAGACAGGAAGAGGCTGGAGGGGAAAAGGAGGAAGGGCGGGAGAAGGGACGCGACCACACTGCTCTATTCAAAACGAATACCCAACCAAGGAGGGTTGGGAATAATAATTACCCTGGCGACGTACCCAACCCCTGCGCAAAAGCGGGGCGCAAATAGTTTAAGATACGTTATAAGGGGGCGATGACGGAGCGAAGGTTGCATGTGTCTGAAGCCGGAATTCGGGAGACTCGCAGGACACTGGCTACAGGAAAAGGGCTTGATAAAGCTGATGAGTTACAATTCCTGGGCACTCCTAGCCACTTCGAAAATGGTGATCACAGCAGGCCTCGAAAGTGGCGACAGTTTCACAGATCGCAGCCCCCAAGGGATGGCGAGGTCTAATTTGGGTCCGCGCGTGGCGTCACTGTGCTGGGCCCCCCAGCAGGCCTCGAAAGTGGCATCAGTTTCACAGATCGCTCCCCCCCAGGGATGGCGAGGTCTAATTTGAATCTGCCCGTGGCGTCACTGCGCTGGGCCCCCCAGCAGGCCTCGAAAGTGGCGACAGTTTCACAGATCGCAGCCCCCAAGGGATGGAGAGGTCTCGTTTGAATATGCCCGTGGCGTAACTGTGCAGGGCCCCCCAGCAGGCCTCGAAAGTGGCGACAGTTTCACAGATCGCACCCCCCCCATAGATGGCGAGGTCTAATTTGAATCCGCGCGTGGCCCTCACTGTGCTGGGCCCCCCAGCAGGCCTCGAAAATGGCGACAGTTTCACAGATCGCAGCCCCCCAGGGATGGCGAGGTCTCGTTTGAATTTGCCCGTGGCGTCACTGTGCTGGGCCCCCCAGCAGGCCTCGAAAGTGGCGACAGTTTCACAGATCGCACCCCCCCAGGGATGGCGAGGTCTCATTTGAATCTGCCCGTGGCGGTCACTGTGCTGGGCCCTCCAGCAGGCCTCGAAAATGGCGACAGTTTCACAGATCGCTCCCCCCCAGGGATGGCGAGGTCTAATTTGAATCTGCCCGTGGCGTCACTGTGCAGGGCCCCCCAGCAGGCCTCGAAAATGGCGACAGTTTCACAGATCGCAGCCCCCCCAGGGATGGCGAGGTCTCATTTGAATCTGCCCGTGGCCCTCACTGTGCTGCCCCCCCCAGCAGGCCTCGAAAATGCGTGGCAGTTTCACAGATCGCAGCCCCCCAGGGATGGCGAGGTCAAATTTGAATCCGCGCGTCACCCTCACTGTGCTGGGCCCCCCAGCAGGCCTCGAAAATTGCGACAGTTTCACAGATCGCAGCCCCCCCAGGGATGTCGAGGTCTAATTTGAATCTGCCCGTGGCCCTCACTGTGCTGGGCCCCCCAGCAGGCCTCGAAAATGGCGACAGTTTCACAGATCGCAGCCCCCCAGGGATGGCGAGGTCTAATTTGAATCTGCGCGTCGCCCTCACTGTGCTGAGCCCCCCATCAGGCCTCGAAAATGGCGACAGTTTCACAGATCGCAGCCCCCCCCCAGGGATGGCGATGTCTAATTTAAATCTGCGCGTCGCCCTCACTGTGCTGGCCCCCCCAGCAGGCCTCGAATATGGCGGCAGTTTCACAGATCGCAGCCCCCCAGGGATGGCGAGGTCTAATTTGAATCTGCGCGACGCCCTCACTGTGCTGGGCCCCCCAGCAGGCCTCGAAAATGGCGACAGTTTCACAGATCGCAGCCCCCCAGGGAGGCGAGGTCTAATTTGAATCCGCGCGTCGCCCTCACTGTGCTGGGCCCCCCAGCAGGCCTCGAAAATGGCGACAGTTTCACAGATCGCAGCCCCCCCAGGGATGGCGAGGTCTCATTTGAATCTGCCCGTGGCCCTCACTGTGCTGGCCACCCCAGCAGGCCTCGAACAGTGGCGACAGTTTTCGCAGAGCGCAGCGCACCAGGGATGGCGAGGTCTAATTTGAATCTGCAGTGAGTACCCACTGTGCTGGGCCCCCCAGCAGGCCTCGAAAGTGGCGACAGTTTCGCAAATCGCAGCCACCCAGGGATGGCGAGGTCTAATTTGAATCTGCGGTGAGTACCCACTGTGCTGGGCCCCCCAGCAGGCCTCGAAAGTGGCGACAGTTTCGCAGATCGCAGCACCCCAGGGATGGCGAGGTCTAATTTGAATTTGCGGTGAGTACCCACTGTGCTGGGCCCCCCAGCAGGCCTCGAAAGTGGCGACAGTTTCGCAGACCGCAGCCCCCCAGCTGGCACGCAGCGACGAGCGAGGCAAAAGGCAAGGGGGAAGAGAGGGGGGGAGGAAGGAGGCAAGGAGACGCGCGAGCAGTGCTCTATTCAAAACGAGAACCCAATGCAGGAGGGTTGGGGAAAAGTTCTAGGGTGTGGTCTGCACCGCGATAAACAGCTACACGAAGCAACATAAATCTAAACTGTTGGAGGTCCGCGCGGATTTCTTGCATCGGCGCTGATCCCATTCCCTGGCGCGCAGCCAGTGGCGACGCCAGAGGCGCCGCCAGGGGGGCCCAGCGTCGATCAAAAAATCCGCGCAGACCTCCGAGAGCTTCAGTTTTTCTTCATCGAATGGTGGAGACGCTAGCTCCATGTGACAATTTCTGCTCATCAGGCTCAACCTCCAAAGAATAATATCAACACCAGCCTTTGGTCACTCGGGCCCCACCGCCACGCTAGGTCGCCAGACTGGGACAAGCAAGACATCCGCCGTAACGCTCCTAGCCAGGCAGCTGAACAAACAGGCGACACACGCGTGCTCTCGGAGATACTGGCACACCTCGAGGTCAATGCTGGTCGTTGCCATGCCTATAGAGCGACAGGAAGGGCCTCCTACTGTGCTCGGACTTGTCGCAGGCCAGGTCCACGAGGCAATTTGAGTAGCCCAACTCGGTGCCGTACCACGTCGCCAGCTCCACGAAATAGTCATCCCAGGATGCCGGAGCAGACGTCGAAGGCGGAGGAAACCGAATCGGTGGTGATCCATGTGTGAAGATGGTCCTGATGATGCATTGGACACCACTGACTTTGTTCAGCGCCACACGCGACCCCTAGTTCAACGTCACTGGCAAGGACAATCCATTGGTGTAACTATCTGAACTTGCACTTAAGCCCACTCATTTTCTCATTGATCGCATTGGAGCTGAATTTCTTCGCGACGAATTGGGCCTCGGCCTTTTCCTCCGACGTCAAAGGTGTCCTTTCGAAACCATGTTTAAATTGCGACTTACAGATGCCAGGTACCTCGAAAATGACCGAAGATAGGTTCATCTTCCGAATGCTGACGCTTAGCGAACTCTCCGAGAAATGTCTCCAATACTGAATGGGGCTCATCTGGGCAAATCTGCTCTTTTGGGTCATGTACAGTTGAGTGCTTACGAAAGTGCTGGAGCAGAAAAGCTCGATGCCCCGACTCGCTCCACACCGAGCCAACTTCTTCGATTCCTGACGCTCGCACATCCCCAATGACCCCAAAACTACCGTGTCCGAGGCCTGGAATTTCTCAACCGCTGCCTCAACAAAACTGCCCATACCCTTGCTAGCCAGATCGATGATAGCGATGTCATCGTCCACGTGAAGAACAAACTCGTTGGATGCCTTCACCACCCCAATGACGTACATCATCTGGGTTTTCCACATGTAGGCAAAGGGCCACTTCGACTCCGCAACGCTGGGAGGCTCGAATTCTAAGTAAAACCAATCACGCCAAAGTTTTCTGACCTCGTCTGATTCATAGTCAATGACCTCCGCGCGGGTAGCAACAGGATGTGTGCAATGATGCTGGTGAAGAGCAGCTGCCCTCGCAAGCACGCGGTCAGCTTCCAGCAATAATTCAAGTTTCGCGGAGCTGCGCAAGAACTTTGACACCGTTTCGGGCCCCCCCTTCAGACGCACGGGACCATAGTTGCAACCACCATGAGGAATGTCGAATGTCAAAAACCCGCCACTGTGCCCGAAGGCACGTTGGGGCGTGCTAAAATGCCAAGTGCTGTCTGGTAGGGTTGCTGTAATCTTCTAGGGTCCACCCCTACTCTTGTCACGCTGGGCCTGCATGGATCGCCCCCTCTCCAGAGGCAACATTCCCTCGCGAAATACTAGAGATTCGCGCTCCCGAGGCCAAGATGTCTACAAGATGGCCCAATCTGGGTCCAAGACGGCCCACTATGGTCTCAAGACGGCCCGAGAGGCCTTCGAGACGCCCCAAGAAAGCCCCAAGAGCCTTCCCAAGAGGGCCTCTGGAGGCGAACCAGAATGAGCCCCGTTGGCGTTTCAGAGTGTGTTGGGGGTTCTCGCCTGATCGTGCTTCCGACGTCCCAGGACGGCCCAAGAGGCCCCCAAGACAACCCCAAGACGGCCGAAGAGCCCCAAAAGAGGGCCCCAAGACGGCCCAAGAGGACTCCAAGACAGCCGAAGAGGCGCCCAAGACAGCCCAAGAGGGCCCCAAGACGGCCCCAAGAGGGGCCCAAGAGGGGGAACACGAACCGACGATTCGAGCACCCCGCCCCAAGAAGCCCCCAGGAGGCCCCGGGCCCAAAAGAGGCCCCCAAGAGACACCAACACGGCCCTCAAGAGAGCCAAAAGAGACCCCCAGGAGGCCCCCAAGGGGGCTCCGAGAGGCAAAAACCTTGGTGTTGTTCGCGTGGTTGTTCCGTGGGTTTGGGCTCTCGCCGTTTCGAGCTTCCGAGGCTCCTAGACAGCCCAAGGGGCCCCCAAGGCTGCCCCAAGACGGCTTCAGAGGCCCCCCGAAGGCCCACCAGAGGGCGCCGAAAACGCACCAAGGGGCCCCAAAACTGCCCCAAAAAGAGCCCACGAAGGGCCCAAGAAGGGGAACCCATACGCCGGGAAGCCGAGCCTTCCGCCCCAAGAGGCCCCCAGGAGGCCCCGAGAGGTCCAGCAGAGACCACCAAGAGACACCCAAAGAGCGGCCCCCCGGAGGCTCAAACGAGATCCCGAGGCTACCCAAATGAGGCCCGTGAGGACTCCTCAAGAAGTGAAGACGGAAAGTGACACATCCGACGGCGTCCCGTCTCCTCATCCTCCTCCTCCTCCTCCTCCTCCTCCTCCTCCTCCTCCTCCTCCTCCTCCTCCTCATCATCATCATCATCATCATCATCATATCATCATCATCATCATCATCATATCATCATCATCATCATTAATCATCATCCTCGGCATCATCATCAACATCATCATCATCATATCCTCTCATCATCATCATCATCATCATTAGGAGCAGCAGCAGCAGCATCATCATCATCATCATCATCATCATCATCATCATCATCCTCATCCTTCCTCTCATCAGTCATCCTCAACATCATCATCATGCATCATAGTATCCATCATCATCCTCAATTCATCATCATCATCATCATCACCATCACCATCAACCATCACCATAACAATCAAATCACCATCATCCTCATCATCATCACCATCTTATCATCAATCATCATCACACGTCGTCGTCGTCATCAGCATCATCATCATCATCATCATCCTCATCCTCATCCTCATCTCATCATCATCATCATCATCATCATTCCTCATCATCATCATCATCACAGTATCATCACAATCCTCATCATATCATCATCATTTTAATCATCATCATCATCAGCAGCAGCATAAACAGCATCATCATCATCATCATGAGCATCATCATCCGTATCATCAGCATCATCATCAGCAGCATCGTCATCGTGATCATCAACATCATCATCAACATCATCATCATCATCAACTCCATTATCATCATCAGCCGCATCATCATCATCATCATCATCACCACCATCATCATCCGCAGCATCAGCCTCAGCATCGGTATCCTCATCATCATGATCCATACTCTACCTCATCATACCCATCCTCTTACACATCATCATCATCATCATCCGCATCAGCATCATCACCACCACCATGATCATCGTCATCATCATCATCATCATCATAACCAACAGCATCATCATCATCAGCCGCATCATCATCATCATCATCAGCAGCAGCAGCAACATCAGCATCATCATCATCAACACCATCATCATCATCCGCAGTATCAGCCTCAGCATCGGTATCAGCATCAGCATCATCCCTATTCCGCCTCATCGCACCCATCCTCTTACAAATAATCATCATCATCATCATCATCATCATCATCATCATCATCATCATCATCATCAGCACCAGCATCATCATCAACATCAGCATCGTCATCACCATCATCATCAGCATCTGCGCCAGCATCCTCACAAACATCATCATCATCAACATCATCACCATCATCACCATCATCATCGTCGACGTCCACTTCCTCCTCCTCAACCATCGCATCCCCACCATCATCAGCAGCAGCATCATCCTCGACATCACAATCACCATGCCCAAAACCACTCATTCTCGTCATCATCATCATCATCAGAATCAGCATCGCCATCATCGTCGACATCATCGTCACCGTCATCAGCATAATCATAGTCATCATCAACCCCACCGTCATCACCAGCACCACCACCATCATCCTTATCACCAGCAGTATCAGCATCGTCGGCACCATACTCATCATCATCGTCGTCATCACCATCAGCATCGTCATCGTTCATCGTCATCGTAATCGTCATCGCATCGTCTTCGTCATCGCCATCGTCGTCATCGTCGTCATCGTCATCATCGTCATCCTCATCGTCATAATCATCGTCATCGTCCTAATCATCATCACCACCACCGTCGTCAACGTCACCACCATCATCAATAGCAGCATCACCATCATGCTCAGCATCGTCATCATCATCGCACCTGACGGGCTCACAGACTTCGAGCACGCACCAACACGCCCAAGGCCGACGAGGTGTCAAGCGTGACGACGTCCAGCACCTTGCTCCCAAAATCCCCAGGACGGAGATACAAAAGGCAAGCCACGTGCTAAGGCTCTCCAATGACGAGAGATACAAGACGTCACACGTTAGGACCTCCGTGTTCCCTCGCGCCAAGACCACAGAGAAAGCTGGGCTGGCACGATAACCAGACTTGCCGCAGGCAGCTGGATATTTCTTGGAAACAGACTTTGAACATGCTCAAATCTATAAGAAGCCGTCCCATGTTCGCACTGTCGTCAACCACAAACGACACGTGAAGGGTCAAATTCGTACCAGACTCCGCCCATTTTTGCACGTAGGCGCCGGATGCTTGCCCGTGCACCTCCCCAGCTTGCACTTGGCCGTACGGAGTTCGGTTGACAGGCTGCGTGCTGGTGCCGCTCCTCTGGGGGTCAGCCCTCCCCTCGGAGGGTCCTGACTGGCGATGCCCCTGCTGTGCTGCGTCGACTGCCATATCCTGTAGACGGCCTGTGCCCCAGAAGAACGGATACCTCTCGCGATTCTCTAACACGGCCCACGGCACAAGGCACCGCTCCAGGACCTGCATCTCCACCGTATGCTGAGGCAACATCACGGGGCGGGGGAGCTTGAGCCATCCGGTCGGATTGTCCTGAAGCAGCGCCTGCGTGGCTATCACATCCTCACGAGACCTCACCTTGCAAAAGCTCGGCTGGCCCTCCCCAAGGCTCAGTACAGGGGCGGGAAGACCACCACCTTCACCGTGCTGGATAAACTTGTAGTTCGCTGGCCCGTCGGGCCAGAGGCGTGTTAGACGTGGCCAGCGCAGGGACGGCAACCGACACACCCCCCCGGAGAGAGCGCGAGGTCGCTGGCCTGTCCTGTCTTGGGGATCTCTTGGAGCCCTCTTGTGATTATCTTGGGGCCTCTTTGCAGGCTGGTGGGACCTCTTGGCCATCTTCGAGCCCCTTGGGGCATTGCGGGGCCCTGCTGGGGAGTTTGGGGGTCGCCTGAGCGAGTCTTGGGACCATCTCGCGGAGACCTTGGGCAATCTTGGAGCCTTCTCTGGGGCCGCCTTGGGGGGGCCAGCTGGGGCCGACTTGGAAGCGTCTTGGGCCCTCTGGGGGGGGCTCGTGTCGTCCTCCTCCAGCCTTCGTGGCGCCAACTCGGGGTGTCCTGGACCACCTTGGGGTCCTGTAGGGCCGTAGTGGGAGCCTCCTGGAGCCTCCTGAGACCACGTCATGTAGGAGGCCTCTTGGCGCCCCCTGGGGCGGCCGTGCGCCCTCTGAAAAGGTCCCTGGGACCTTTCAAAACCACCAACGTGGCCGAAACGAGGGCGCGTGACGCCTGCCCCCCGGGGCCCGCCACTGCCCTCGCACTGCCCCCGGGCCGATCGCGTCGCTCCGCTGGCAAGCCGCACGCGAGCACGAGGCAGACACGAGAGTACGGAACGGGGTCCTCCTCCTCCTCCCTCCCACTCATCCTCCTTTCCTACTCCTCTCTCTCTCCCTCACACCCTCCTCAGTCCTACTCACCCTCCTCCTCCTCCTCATCCTCCTCCTCACCCTCCTCTCCTCCTCTCCTCCCCCTCCTCTCCTCTCCTCCTCCCTCCTCCTCCTCCTCCTCCTTCCCCTCCTCCTCATCCTCCTCCCCCTCTCCTCCTCTCATCCTCCTCCTCCTCCTCTCCTCCTCCTCCTCCTCCTCCTCCTCATCCTCTCCTCCTCCTCCTCCTCTCCTCCTCCTCCCCTCCTCTCCTCCTCCTCGTCTCCTCCTACCTACATCCTCACTCCTGCTCCTCTCCTCCTCCTCATCTCCCTCCTCCTCCTCCTCCTACTCCTCCTCCTCCTCCTCCTCCTCCTCCTCCTCCTCCTCCGCCCACTGGGATGCCAGGCTCAGGGCAGACATCGGCGAGGCGATGGGGGAGACTGGCGAGCGCTTCGACAGGGGCCTCGTGGGCAAGAAGGCCTGCAGGCTGGGCCAGGTCGAGGCGGCGGCGGCCAGAATGGCCGGCTCCACGAGCTGCGGCGTGACCAGCAACAGCAGCAGCGCGACCACGTCGCGGGCAAAGCCGTGGAGTCCAGCGGCAGCGGCATCCACTCCGACGTCGCGGAGGAGGTCACCGAGCTGCCAGAGGGCCCTGCAGAGGCCGGCGGAGCTGCAGGCCGCGCAGCAGCTTCGACTATAGTCCTCTGTGGGTCCGGTGTCCGGGGTGTCCGGGGTGTCCGGGGTGTCCGGGGGACGTGTCCGGGGTGTCCGGGGTGTCCGGCGTGTCCGGGGTGTCCGGGGTGTATGCGGTGTCCGGCGTGTCCGGGGTGTCTGGCGTGTCCGGGGTGTCCGGGGTGTCTGGGGTGTCCGGGGTGTCCGGCGTGTTCGGGGGACGTGTCTGGGGTGTCCGGGGTGTCCGGGGTGTCCGGGGTGTCCGGGGTGTCCGGCGTGTCCGGGGTGTCCGGGGTGGCCAGGGTGTCCTGGGTGTCCGGGGTGTCCGGCGTGTCCGGGGTGTCCAGGGGACGTGTCCGGGGTGTCCGGCGTGTCCGGGGTGTCCAGGGTGTCCGGGGTGTTCGGGGTGTCCGGGGTGTCCGGCGTGTCCGGCGTTTTCGGGGTGTCCGGGGTGTCCAGGGTGTCCGGGGTGTCCGGGGTGACCGGGGTGTCCGGGGTGTCTGGGATCTCCTCCTCCAATTTCTCTTCCTCCCCCTCCTCCTCCTTTCCTCCTCCTCCTCCTCCTCCTCCTCCACCTCTTCCTCCTCTTCCTCCTCCTCCTCCTCCTCCTCCTCCTCCTCCTCCTCCTCATCCTCCTCATCCTCCCCCTCCTACTCCTACTCCTACTCCTCCTCCTCCTCCTCTTCTACTCCTCCTCCTCCTCCTCCTCCTCCTCCTCCTCCCCCTCCTCCTCCTCCTCCTCCTCCTCCTCCCTGCTGCCTCCGGGGTTCGGGTCGTCAAGCCGTTTCTTGACGGTCCCTGGGCCTGGGTCGTCGTCGTCGTCGTTCAGGGTCGGCGGCACTGGCCGTAAGGCCGTAAACCTTCACTCAGGGATGGGGCGTTCAGTGGGGCTGGCGGGACATTGAATGTAACCTTCAATAAGTGATGGGCCAAGGTAGGGGGAAACTATGTTACAACCGCCGATTGCGCGGATCGGGCCGACGGCACATGAAATACAACCGTCACTCAGCAATGGGGAGTTCAGGCGGGCGGGCGGGCGGGACATCCAATGTAGCCTTCCCTCTGGCATGGGACAATTTTTGGGGAACATGTCTCGCAACCACCGAAGACGCTGGTCGTGCACTCAGCAATGGGGAGTTCAGGCGGGCGGGCGGGCGGGACATCCAATGTAGCCTTCCCTCTGGCATGGGACAATTTTTGGGGAACATGTCTCGCAACCACCGAAGACGCTGGTCGTGCGGGCGGGACAGTAAACGAAACCTTCACTCATGGATGGGGCGTCCGGTCGGGCGGGCGGGGCATTGAATATAGCCTTCATGATGGGCCAAGGTAGGAGGAAACGATGTTACAACCGCCGACAACGCGGGTCGGGCGTGCGGGATATGAAATGCAACCGCCACTCAGAAATGGCATTTTGGGGAGATCAGTCGGGCGGGCGGGCGGGACATGGAACGTAACTTTCACCATGTGATTGGACACGGCTTGATGAACATATATCGCAACCGCCGAAGACGCCGGTCGAGCGGGCGGGACATTCAATGAAACCTTCACGCAGGGATTGGGCATTCGGTCGGGCGGGCGGGACATAACATCTAACATCGGCTCTGTGATCAGATAATGCTGGGGCGGGATGTATCGCCACCGCCGAAGACGCCGGTCGGGCGGGCGGGACATTAAACGAAACCTTCACTGAGGGATGGGGCGGCCGGTCGGGCGGGCGGGACATTAGATGTAACCTTCACTGAGTGATGCGCCAAGGCAAAAAAAAAATTATGCTAACGGAGTTCCCCACGTAAAGAGATTAACGGTTTCGTCTCGCTCAGGCTGGGCCTCCCTGGAGGGGTGGGAGGGGCACGAAACCATGTAAATAGAATTGTATTCCGATACCCTCCTCGCTCAGGCGGGGCCTCCCTGGAGGGGTGGGAGGGGCACGAAACCATGTACATAGTATGGTTTTCGGATACCCTCCTCGCTCAGGCGGGGCCTCCCTGGAGGTGTGGGAGGGGCGCGAAACCATGTAAATAGTATGGTATTCCGATACCCTCCTCGCTCAGGCGGGGCCTCCCGGGAGAGGTGGAGGGCACGAAACCACGTAAAATAGTATGGTATTCCGATACCCTCCTCCGCTAAGCAGGGGCCTCCCTGGAGGGGTGGGAGGCGGCACGAAACCATGTTGTAATCTTTATGTATTCCCGATACCCTCCTCGCTCAGGCGGGGCCTCCCTGGAGGGGTTGGGAGGGCACGAACCATGAAAATAGTATGGGTTTTCGGATACCCTCTCGCTCAGGCGGGGCCTTTTTTTTTTTTTTTTTTTTTTTTTCCCTGGACGGGTGGGAGGGGCACGAAACCATGTAAATAGTATGGTTTTCCGATACCCTCCTCGCTCAGGCGGGGCCTCCCTGGAGAGGTGGGAGGGGCACGAAACCATGTAAATAGTATGGTTGTCCGATACCCTCCTCGCTCAGGCGGGGCCTCCCTGGAGGGGTGGGAGGGGCACGAAACAATGTAAATAGTATGGTATTCCGATACCCTCCTCGCTCAGGCGGGGCCTCCCTGGAGGGGTGGGAGGGGCACGAAACCATGTAAATAGTATGGTATTCCGATACCCTCCTCGCTCAGGCCGGGCCTCCCTGGAGGGGTGGGAGGGGCACGAAACCATGTAAATAGTATGGTATTCCGATACCCTCCTCGCTCAGGCGGGGCCTCCCTGGAGGGGTGGGAGGGGCACGAAAACATGTAAATTGTATGGTATTCCGATACCCTCCTCGCTCAGGCGGGGCCTCCCTGGAGGGGTGGGAGGGGCACGAAACCATGTAAATAGTATGGTATGCCGTTACCCTCCTCGCTCAGGCGGGGCCTCCCTGGAGGGGTGGGAGGGGCACGAAACCATGTAAATAGTATGGTTTTCGGATACCCTCCTCGATCAGGCGGGGCCTCCCTGGAGGGGTGGGAGGGGCACGAAACCATGTAAATAGTATGGTTTTCGGATACCCTCTTCGCTCAGGCGGGGCCTCCCTGGAGGGGTGGGAGGGGCACGAAACCATGTAAGTAGTATGGTTTTCGGTATGGAGTGGTATGGAATGGTATGGTAGTATGGTATGGTACGGTATGGTATGGTATGGTATGGTATGGTACTGGAGGTATGGTATGGTATGGTACGGTGTGGCATTGGTGTGATATGGTATGGTATGCTATGGTACGCCATGGTATGGTATGGTACGGTATGGTACGTATGGTGTGGTATGGTGTGGTATGGTATGGTATGGTATGGGTGGTAGGAACTATGGTATGGTATGGTGTGTGTGGTAGGAATAATATTGTGCTGTATGGAAGATGGAGCGGGAGGTGGGTGGGAAGGAGAGGGTGTTCTGGGAAAACAAGAACCCCACTCAGGATGTGGGGAATTATGTTACAACCACCGAAAACGCGGGTCGGGCGGGCGGGACATTACATGAAACCTTCATTCAGGGATGGGGCGCTCGGTCGGGCGGGCGGGACATTAAATGCAACCTTCACTCAGGGATGGGGCGTTCGGTCGGGCGGGCGGGACATTAAATGTAACCTTCACTCTGACATGGGACAAGGTTGGGAGAAACTATGGTGGAACCGTCGGGCGGGCGGGACATTAAATGCAACATTCACTCAGGAATGGGGAATTCAGTCGGGTGGGCGGGCGGGACCTTACATGAAGCCTTGCGTCGTCGACGTCGTCGTCGTGGTTCGCCGTGCGCCGCCGCCGTCGTCGTCGTCGTCGTCGTCGTCGCCGTCGCCGTCGCCGTCGCCGCATCGGCCGCCGCCGCCGCCGCCGCCGCCGCCGCCGCCGCCGTCGTCGTCGTCGTCGTCGTCGTCGTCGTCGTTCGTCTTCGTCGTTCGTCGTTCGGTCTCGTCGTGTCGTCGTCGTCGTCCGTCGTCGTCTCGTCGCGGCGGGCGGCGGCTGGTCGGCGTCGTTCGTCGTCGTCGTCTTCGTCGTCGTCGAGGGGGGCGAGGGGAGGAGGGGTAAGTGAAGGAGGGGGGAGGGGGATGGAGGAGGGAGGGAGGTAGGGGGGGGGGGAAGGGGGGGGGGGGGAGTCCTTGGCCGGCGGCGAATAACAGGGGGGGGTCGTGACCCCCCCCGGTTTTCCGGGGGGGTGGTGGTGACCCCCCTCGCTTTCTCTGTTATTTTGAGGGGTGACCCCCCCCCCTCGGTTTTCTGCCAGCAGCAGCGCAACAATCTCTTTCCATAGTTTATGTTTGCAGGGCCGCGGAGGCTCCAGGGGTTCCCGAACAGTGGGTCGATGAGGACTACTGGTGGAATTGGCGGGTGGGGCCGGGCAGGCAGGGCATTAAAGTGTGGGGCCTCATGGAATACGAGGAGAACTTGGGTGGACGGGTGGGATCTGGCTGGCTGGGCACCAACGAGCGGGCCAGGCGGGGCGGACCAACGCGCGGGTGGGGGCCAGAGGGCGGGACATTAGAATGGAGCGCGCAATCAAGCATTTTAGTTGGGTTTTCTTTTAGTTTGTTTAACGCCCAGGGTTCTCTTTTAGTTTGTTTCCCCTCGGTTTTGACGGGAAGAGGGCCGGCGGATTTCTTTTGCTATAAATAACGAATGGGAAGAGGGCCGGCGAATTAAAATTTCAGGATGTCCCTAGCGAAACGCTTGTTTTTCAGAATTTGTTGAGGATGTCTAGAGCGAAACGCTTGTTTTGTGTTATAGATTGTCCTCTCCTGGGGACCAGAGTTTAGAGGATCTCTCAAGTGAAATGCTTGGTTTCACGTGCCCAGGTCTTGAGGACGTCTCGAGCGAGACGCTTGGTTTCACGCCTCCAGGTTGCCCAGGCAGAGGTCAAGCGCCAGGATTTGTTGAGGATGTCTCGAACGAGACGCTTGGTTTCACGCGTCCTCGTCGCCCAGGCGGATGTCTAGAATGAGGAGGTGTTGAGGAAGTCTCGATCGAAATGCTTGTTTGCACGTGTCCGGGTTGCCCAGGCGGATGCCTAGCATGAGGATGTGTTGAGGATGTCTCGAGAGATTCGCTTGTCTTCACGTGTCCAGGTCGCCCAGGCGGATGTCTAACATGAAGATGTGTTGAAGATGTCTCGAGCGAGACGTTTGCTTTCACGTGTACAGGTCGCCAAGGCGGATGTCTAGAATGCGGAGGTGTTGAAAACGTCTCGAGCGAAACACTTGTTTTCACGTGCCCAGGTCACCCAGGCGGACGTCTCACATGAAGATGTGTTGAGGATGTCTCGAGCGAACTACTTGTTTTCACGTGTCCAGTTCGCCCAGGCGGATGTCTAGCATGAGAATGTGTTGAGGATGTGTTGAGCAAAATGTATGTTGACACGTGTCCAGGTCGCTCAGGCGGATGTCTAGAATGAGGATTTTGACAGGATGTCTGGAGCGAAACGCTTGTCCCCAGCACGTTCCGTAGCGCGTCCCCCTGGCACGTCCCGCGGTGCGTCCCCATGGCACAATCCCTGGCATGTCGCCTGGCGCGTCCCTTGAGACGTTCCGCGGCGCGTCCTCCTGGCATGTCCCCCTGTCAATTAGCTCTGCGGCAGATACTATGTGTTCAGGCAGCTCGAGCTTAAGATTCAGATCAGTTCGGTCAGGACTCGGATGCAACGGAGGACTCGATCCACGACGCTATAGAGCACAACCGCGGCATGGCACATCGCAGTTCAGCACGGTGCAGCACAACACAGACTTCGGCACGGTACATCAAGATCGATACAATCAGCATTGCAACCTGGCACGTTCCTTGGCACGTTCCGTGGGGCGTCCCTTGGCGAGTCCCCCAGGCACGTCGCGCGGCGCGTCCCCTGGCACATTCCGCGGCACATCCATTGGCACGTTCCGTAGCGCGTCCCCTTGGCATGTCCTACGGTGCGACCCCATGGCACGTCCCCTGGCACGTCGCCTGGCGCGTCCCTTGGGACGTTTCGCGGCGCGTCCTCCTGGCATGTCCCCTTTTCAATTAGCTCTGGGGCAGCTACTATGTGTTCAGGCAGCTCGAACATAAGATCCAGATCAGTTCGGTCAGGACTCGGATGCAAAGGAAGACTCGATCCACAACGCTATATAGAGCACAATCGCGGCATGGCACATCGTAATTCAGCGCGGCGCAGCACAGCGCAGCCTTCGGCACAGTACATCAAGATCGATACATTCAGCATTGCATTTGCCCGTCGCCCAATCAGGTGTCTTTGAAACATTGCCATGCCTTACATTTCTATATTCCTTTCCGGGTTCGTGGGTCGATAATGTTTTCATTGCCGCAACAATATGACAGCGCATCATCGCAGCAGTGCTGCGCCGCGTCGCGCGGCAGCGGAACGAATGGAGGAGGAGGAGGAGGAGGAGGAGGAGGAGGAGGAGGAGGAGGAGGAGGAGGAGGAGGAGGAGGGGGGGAGGAGGAGGAGCAGGCAGGATGGGGGGGCATGGGCAAGAGGCAAGACGAGCAGATTGAGGCAGAAGGGGAAGGCATGATGAGTAGGCAGGAGGAAGAAGCAGGATGATGAGTCGTCAGGACGAGCATGATGAGGAAACCAGAGGATGCGGGCGAGGAGGATGCGGGGGAGGACGACGATGAAAAGGCGATCGTAGGATGGTGATAGTGAAGCAAAATGGTGACGCATGTAGATGATGATGATCAGGAGGAAGAGAGGAAGGAAGAGGAGGAGGAGGCGGAGGAGGACGACGACGACGACGACGACGACGACGACGACGACGACGACGACGACGACGAAGGTGTCTGAGGTGTCCGGGTGTCCGGGGTGTCCGGGGGACGTGTCCGGGGTGTCTGGGGTGTCCGGGGGGACGTGTCCGGGATGTCCGGGGTGTCCAGGAGACGTGTCCGGGATGTCCGGGGGACGTGTCCGAGGTGTCCGGGGTGTCCGGCGGACGTGTCCGGGGGACGTGTCCGGGGGACGTGTCTGGGAGACGTGTCCAGGGTGTCCGGAGTGTCCGGGGGACGTGTCCGGGGTGTCTGGGGTGTCCGGCGGACGTGTCCGGGGACCTGTGGGGGACTCTAATGGCAGCTTCAGGTCGACGCCTTTCGGGATCGTGCCGCAGGCCGAGAGGGTAGGAGAAGAGGGCGCGGGCGCAGGAAGCGCAGAGCGGACCAGCACGCAGCTGGATACCCCGACGGCGACGGACCTCGTGAAACCCGCGCGGGCGCTGACCAGTGGAGCCCAGGGGCCATCCAGACCCAGCGGGGGGGCCGCGGAGCAGGTGATCGTCGACGAGGGGCTCGACGAGAGGCACGTGGCCTTCGTGAGGAAGACGAAGACGGAGGTCGAGCAGGAGTAAGACCTGGTCGCGGAGGCGGGGAGGTGGTGCTACCTGTGGAGGGCACCCCTCGTTAACCTCACGGCAGTGCTGTAGGCCTTCATACCGAGTAACCTGTCTCCTGGGGGTACTGATTCGAGCCCTGGCCATATCCTGTCCCAGGGTGTTCGAGCATCCTGGGTATACACTACTGGAGATTCTTTGTAGAAATCGGCCTCCTGCGTCGACGCTATGGCGTCCAGCGAACTTCGATCGTCCAGCGTGCTCTAGGAGCTTTGGAGGTTGCCCGAGGCCGAAAAAGACGCCAACCGGTGCGCGTTAGCCCCAGGCCCATGCCCGCAGACGCCCGACACCCCCTGGCGAATCGCATCGCGAAGCTGATAAAGTTCGCCTTGTGCACAGCGAGTGCGTTGGATAGAAGCTGATGAAGTTCGCCCTAGTGCACAGCGAGTGCATTGGATAAGCAGCCCTTAGATAAGGAATCCAGGGTCTGGAAAACAGTGGAACACCATTTGAGGCTTGGCCATGGATGTCACCGCCGCCTTCGTCTGATAAGGAACCTTTCGGGGTCTGAAGCCTTCTGGGCACGGTCCTTAACGAACACCCCCAGCGCATCCTGCGGTCAATGAAACCAAAAGTGTGGGCACTGGACCGTCCATCTGTTCAGCGCGAGCGACGCTGGCCCGTCGTGCCCTGCCGGAGAAACTGGGGGCAGGTTCAGGCAGACAGCGAGCAAGAACGGCGCAACATTGGGCGCCAATGGCGGTCAGGCCCCCTGCGGAAAAATCGCCCTCCAAGACTGCCCCTGGGTAGGCCGAAGAGGCCCAAAAATTGGCCCCAAGATGGCCCCCAGAGGTCCCAAGATGGCCCCACGATGGCCAAGTACGCCACCAAGACAACCTGATGTTCCTGTCAGAGCTTTTTCGGGCTCCATCTATCTGGCACAAATCCGAGAGGTCCCCAAGAGAGCCCAGAAGCCAACAGGAAGACTCAAACAGAGCCCCAAGAGGGCACCGAGGGGGGCCCAGGAGGCAAGAGCCCCCCGAGTTTGACTTAAACATGCGCCCTTCGCGCCATCCACTGGTGAGGGGGCAAGTCCAACATAGGGTGGGTCTTCATGAGAAGTCTCAGAGGCCCACAAGAGGCATCCCACGCAACACGGGGCCCCGAGGAGCACCCAAAAACGCCCTGACAGGCTCCTCTGAATGCCCAGAGGTCCCTTACCAGCAGCACCGCATTTGCAGCATCAAAGATAACGCCTCCAAAAACCACGTTGCCAACGATCCGCCCAGCGCTCATTATCCCGCCACACTGGCTTCAGGCGGCAGTCGGGAACACTACCACCAGCCAACCAATCTCCAATCCCCACGGGAAACCACATGCAACAACCTGGCGCAATGGGCCGGCGAACGTGCGGAGCGTTTGGCTCTGGCTGTCCACGCGCAGACTGTGGAGAAGAGGGCAGGTGAGAGTCCCGGGCGAGATCGTGAAACATCGTGAAACAAGAGGCCCGCCCGCTCTCCCCCCCCCCTCTGGGCCTGCCGCGCAGTCCGAGTCGTTCTCTCAACAACTGGGAGCCGGCGGTAAACCGTCAACCAGGTTACCGCCGGGACCCTCGTAGAGCTCTGCAGAGACCAAATCAGTTCCCAGATAACCGCCCGCTCTCCCCCCCCCCCTCTGGGCCTGCCGCGCAGTCCGAGTCGTTCTCTCAACAACGATCGCCTCCCAAACTCTCCAAGACGGCTCCGGGAGGGTGCACTCGGAGCGCCGAGGTCGGCCAGCACGAGCTGCAGGGCCGAGGGCGGCAGCTCCGAGCGGCCCCGTGTGGCCCCCAGAGGAGGAGGAGGAGGAGGAGGAGGAGGAGGAGGAGGAGGAGGAGGAGGAGGAGGAGGAGGAGGAGAGGAGGAGGAGGAGGAGGGAGGAGGAGGAGGAGGAGGAGGAGGAGGAGGAGGAGGGGGAGGAGGAGGAGGAGGAGGAGGAGGAGGAGGAGGAGGCTCTGCAAAGGGCTCACGAGACGCCGAAATCGCGGGGAGAGGTGATTCGGCAGAGAGCTCCTCCACTGGTCGGCTCAAGAGAGAACTCCAAGACGGGTGCCAGAGGCCTCCGAGAGGGTCCACAGCCAGAGGCCCCCCTAGAAGCCCCGTGGCAGCCACGTGGACCCCCAGGATGGCTCCAAGGTTGTGCCAGAAGCTCCCAAGAGGCTTCCAAAATGGCTCCGCACTGGCAATGCCGTCGGCGCCAGCCAGACAAGTTAGCGGCGCCACACAGACTGATGAACTCCTGGAGCACCCTTGATTTGTCTTATTTACCCACAAAACAAACCTTATCCCAGGGCGCAAGTTAAACTTATTGGGACAGGTTTGACCTGTCTCAGGGGGCTGTGCTCGGCCGACGTTGTGATGTTTCTGGACCGCCTCGGCCCGATGTCGGCCCACCTGAGGGCCGTTTTGACTGGTCCCTCTTCCGCTTCTGCAGAACGCTGTGGGCGGGCGGTGAATGCAAAGCGTCTTGAATAGAGCTGTGCTAGATTTGTTGTCGATTGAAGGTGCACCCCAGCCCGACGCATCTGCAGAGTCCCTGAGCAACGCAAACAAACGATCACTTTGAAATCTTTGCCCGTGGCCGGCTCCTCGCTCCAATACAACGGGTTGACAGTTATTCTGCTGAACTTTCGGACCGTGCCCTGGACCCAATTGTCGCTGGGGACACTCTGTAACGTTCGCAGGTTGTACAAAAGCGCCAGCAGGTGCAACTGGACAATGTCGTGGTATTTTACTGTTGGACCTGGATCGGACCACTTGCAATTCCTCTGAGACCCTCCGTAAGTGGGGACATCGCACACGGGAACATGGCTAGATCCGGAGGTAAAACACCACGTATGGAAAAATTACGGTTCCTAACAATGCCAATGTCCCCGTTGTAGCAAATGTCCCTATTTACGTGGACCTGATCCTCAGGGACCACATGGCCTCCGCAGTTGGAATTTCGTCCAGGTCTGTGTGGATCACGAGAGTGTCACTGCTGATGTTCTTGTGGCGCTTCAGCAACGTCCAAATGCAGTTCCGCTGGGCCGATTGGATGTCCCACACATTCTGCTGCTTCTGGTCTGGAGACTTCCGTCGAAACTTGTCCACGGCAGAGCGGTAAGGCCTGCAAGCGTCAAGATCTAGGTAAACAATGCGGGGTAGGAACGCCTCGAACCGACCTTTGTTTTTGTCGAACAAGCGAGGCTTGGTATCGCCACGGAAATTGAATGCCGACTCGGCCACTACGAAGTAGTCGACGACGTCGACCAGCTCCAGGAAGCGAATCTCGAGGAGGTCCAGCTCAGCTCCTCCACCCACGCCGCTGACCACGTCAATCATCGGAACGCGTCGCGGCTCTAGCTTCCCAGACAATCCACTGGCCCACCTTGCAAAGGGGCCATAAAGGCTGCGAGGATTTTCGCTGCAGCTACTGAGCAGCTCAGTTCTCACCAGCCCAGCGCGAGAATTCGGAAAATTGCCATACTCTCTGGATTTGATCCCCCCCACAACGCGACGAAACCCGAACCCGGGCGTGGTGGTTAGCACTAGAGGGCCCAGTCAGCCAGGTGAAACAAAACTGAGCGCATACTCTGAATACTCTGTCAAGCGTGATCTGCGAGCTACTACTTCTCACAGAGCAGAGTCGCCAGGTGCCTCAAAGAAGCTTCAAAGAACACGGGCTACCCACCTAGGCCCAAAGGCATCCTACCCCCCACACTCTGGAGCACGTTCCATCAGAATTCCTGTCGCCCTGGGACACGAGGCATAAAAAGGCATCACGTTCGCGCTCACAGGAGCACGATCCCTGTCTAAAAACAGCAGGCTCCCACTCACGAAGCCAAGATCCCCCTGGAGTTGCGCGTCAGACGGCACGCCCCCTTTTTGAAAATAACAACAACAACAACAACAACAACAACAACAACAACAACAACAACAACAACAACAACAACAACAACAACAACAACAACAACACAACCACAACCACAACCACAACCACAACAACAACCACAACAACAACAACAACCACAACAACAACAACAACAACAACAACAACAACAACAACAACAACAACAACCACAACCACAACCACAACCACAACCATAACCACAACCACAACCAGCACCACAACCACAACAACAACAGCAGCAGCAGCAAGAACAACAACAACAACAACAACAACAACAACAACAACAACAACAACAGCAGCAGCAGCAGCAGCACCAACAAAAACAACAACAGCAATGACAACAACGACAATAACAGCAGCAGCAGCAACAGCTGCAACAACAGCACAAAACCTATATAACAAACATATATATATGTATAGAAATATAAACAAATATACTAAACATACTGTAACATATATGTTTTGGGCCAGGTGCTCCCCAGCCCTCGGACGCTCCCAAGCGATTTGCCGAGCGCTCCCTGCAGCCCCCTGAGCTCCCGGGCCTCCGACGACACGGCTGCTTCACCACACGGCACCGCTGGACGGTATCTCCCGGGGCCGCAGGCGACCCGAGGAGGAGGAGGAGGAGGAGGAGGAGGAGGAGGAGGAGGGGGAGGAGGAGGAGGAGGAGGAGGAGGAGGAGGAGGAGGAGGAGGAGAGGAGGAGGAGGAGGAGGAGGAGAAGAAGGAGGAGGAGGAGGAGAAGGGAGGAGGAGAGATGGAGGAGGCGGAGGAGGAAGGAGGAGGAGGAGCAGGAGGAGGAGGAGGGAGGAGGAGGAGGAGGAGGATTGGATTGGATTGGACACGTCGGGAGCAAGGCTGGGCCATCCAGCAACGAAGGATGGAGACCCGACCCTGCACCGCTAAGCGGCACATGGCGGCCCTCCAAACAACATGCCAGAGGACCCGACCTAGAGAGAACAACCGCGATGAGTCCCACGCAGTGCAGAACAGGGGCAAGCAAGCGGTAGGCTACAAACCAGTTCCATTGGTTGCCACCGCTGGCCACTAGGAACCCATGAACTGCGCACTATATAGCACAGTCGCTTAAAAGGGAAACAATATCCTCCTCCTCCTCTTCTCCTCCAAGCCTCCCCCACCCCATAATCGAGCAGACAACTCTGGGGGAAGAGGCAGGGGGAGGGAGGGGTATGAAGGAGAGACGACTAAAGCAGTTGGGAAACAGGAACAAGCTCCTCAAGAACAACATAATTGCCCTTGGCATGCGAGGGGTGCTTACCCTCCCGCACTCGCTTAAGATTATACCTGAGGTGGTCACTGGTTGGCCCTCCAAGGCAATCCTCTGCAAGCTTGTTAAGTCGTCCTGATTCGGTCATGCATCCACAAGCCATGCAAATGAAAATAACGCCGCCAGGGTATTGGGTAACATGCAAGTGGTGGCGGCGCGGGTTCGCGAAGAGAGCGGGGAGCTCGGGGTGAGCCTGCTTGCAAGCAGGTGTGGGCAAGGGAGGGTCACGCAGGCTGCGCCTTAGGCAGACTCTGCAAACCCACCTGGACTGCCTCCACACCCAGCGGTGGCCGCCCACCGTGAGACCGGCGGGTACAGCAGGGTCACTGTCAGGAGGAAAAGGGGCAGGGGGAGGGGCAGGAGGAGAGGGAGGGGCGGGGGGAGGGGCATTGGACGACCCTGCGGCCTCGCCCAAAACTTCTTGGCCAGCTGCTGCACCAACACGGCCTCGCCCCGTAGCTGTCCCTCCCCTGGCCAACCGCTCCTTCGGCCTAGGGGGAGCCAGGGAGCTCCAGTGCAGCAGTGCTTTACATAAGAAGGTAAGGTACTGGGCCAAAGCATGGCACTCGCGAGAATGCTCGTCGAGCTCAGCTGCCGAGGGGCGCGCGTGCGAAAGCGCCGCCGATTTGGCCAGTAAGTCGGCCCAATGGTTACCTTTAGCCTGGTACCACTCCTCGCTGTAGGGAGTGAGGTCGCTAAGAACTACATAGGCTTTCACTGTAGAAATGCGTAGCTGCTCACGCGGCCTGGGGAAGGCACCAATCCCCAGAAGCTTCACTCCAGCATAATAGGATCTTCGATCGAAAACTGCCTCTGGAGCCTTCTCCGCGGTACCGACAAGACCCTCGTAATCAGTGCAGAACTCGCTGGCATAAGGTGCATGCCTACACGAAGCAAGAAAACCTACATGTTCAGCGGCCGGGCTGGTTTGAGGTAGGAGACGACCTACTTTACCAGAGATCGAAGCGTGCACTTCGCCATGACCAGTGATACAGACACAAGCCCAACCAGCACAGTGGTGTACCCGATGTCCGTCTTTGAAGCAAGATCCATCCCAGAAGAGCCTCTTGCCTCTAAAGGCTTCAAGTACATTCGCGCCAGCAGGAGGAGGAGGAGGAGGAGGAGGAGGAGGAGGAGGAGGGAGGAGGAGGAGAAGGAGGTGGAGGAGGAGGAGGAGAAGGAGGAGGAGGAGGAGGGAGGAGGAGGGGAGGGAGTAAGGAAGAGGGAGGAGGAGGGGAGGGAGGAAGAAAGAGGGAGGAGGAGGAGGAGGAGGAGGAGGAGGAGGAGGAGGAGGAGGACGGGACACCTAAGCCCTTCGGAGAAACCCGCCAAGCACCGCACCCCTCTCCGGGGGTCCGGCTTTTCACCCTGATCCGTTGTTCCGCGCTCCCAGTTCCCAGTCAGGGCCCCCAGCAACGGAGAACGAGCAAACACCTCCCGTCGTGATTCTTCCACGACGCGGAGACCCAAAGATCTGAACCCCTTCACGGGGACCGGCTTTTCGTCCTGATCCGTTGTTTGACGGTCCTGGGGCTGAGCAAAGGCCCCGAGACGCCGAAAACGGCCCAGAACCTTTCGTCGCGGTTCTTTCAGGACGCGAGGCTGAGTTTTCGTGGTAATCTATTTTTGACGGTCCAGGAGCCCACCCAGGGCCCCCAGCGGCTGAACACGACCAAAAGCCAAGCGCCTGTGTCGGCAAACCCCTCACGCATTAAAGGCCCAGACCTCTGAAAACCAGGAGGAGGAGGAGGAGGAGGAGGAGGGGCAGGAGGAGGAGAAGGAGGACGGGAGGAGGAGAAGGAGGAGAAGGAGGAGGAGGAGGTCTGGGCCAGGCGTCCCCCAAGAACCCCTTGGCGTCCCCTTGGCACTCCGAGGCCCTCCCGGGCGGCCCCAAGCGCTCCCGAGTGTTATTGCGCAGGCGCTCTCGCCGAGTGCCCTGACGCTGCAGATGGGCGATTTCGGCAACCCTAAACCCAAAAACTTGTTTTTACACCGCAAAGCAGCTTTCAACTATGCCCAGCTGAAAAGTCCATCGTTGCAGCCCAGCCCGTGCAAACATAATGCAGCCCCCTGTAATGCGACCCCAAAAACAGACTCATCTCTTGGGGGGCGCATCTCATACTTCCGCCGCCCTTCGCCAGCCTTCCGCTGGCTTCCGCCGGCGGAGGCGGCCTCGTTGTACTTCTGCCGCCTTCCGCCGCCCTTCCACCGCCTTCTGCCGAGGAAGAGATGACAAAACCTTCGATCCTCGCAGGCAAGGCCGTTCTTCGGGAACGCCTCAGATGGCCCCCCCAAGCGCTCCCAAACGCTGCCCTGCTGCTCTCCCCACGTTCAAAGGGAGCTCCTGAACGCTCCATGGCGCCCCATGGCGCCCCTCGACGCTTCCAAGAACCTCCCGGTTTCTCAAGCGGTCCCGACCCCTCCCCAACACCCAGGGGCGCCGCTCCCGAGCGCTCGCCCCGAGCCCCCGAGCGCTCCAAGGCGCTCCCAAGGGCTCCCAGGCGCTGCCGAACTTTCCCTGGCGCTCTCGAGCGCTCCCAGGCGCTCCCGAGCGCTCCCCTGGTGTTCCCAAGCGTTCCCCGGGCACCCGGGCGCTCCTTGACACTCCAACTATGATCAACGTGCTGCGAGCGCGCAGCCACGATGCCTCAGGATAGAGGCCCCTGGATGAGTGCCTTCCTTCGAAGTTGTCCCGCGAAGTCCCCGACAAACCAACCAGCCGTTTAACTAACCAGGCAGCATGCCAAGCCAACCGGCCAGCCAGCCAATCAACCTGCCAACCATGCAGACAGCCAGCCCAGCAGTCGAATTGCCGGCCTGCCAACCAATCAGCCAATGGGGATCATCAGAGGGAGGTGCGACAGAGGGCGAAGCCACTCTCATAAACTCGGGTACCAGTCGGGATTCCTACAATCGGTTCTGAAAGGCTTGGCTCTAGATGATCTGTTCAAACCAACTGTTGGAGGTGCTCCCACAGCAGGCGCCATGATATCGATGAGCTGCTCACGTTGGTCATTGCTCAAGAATCGTGTGTTTTTCTCTCCCCACTTGCAGATTTGCAGAAATAGATCCAGCAGGACATCTGCAGCTGTAACAGGTCCGCCTTCAGCTTTCGGCACAAGATCTGCCGCTGCGTCCAAAACCCCTCCAGTGTTCGGCAGATGATCTGGGGCTGTAGATGAGGCTTCAGTAGCACTGGCCAAATGCTCTGCGGCTGTACGTGGAGCCTCTGCAGATTTCGGCGTATGCCCTGTAGCTGTAAGCGGAGAGTGTGAGGTTTCAGGCGCATGCTCTGCAGCTGTACGTGTAGACTCCCCAACACTCGGCACACGCTCTGCAGCTGTACTCTGATGCTCTGCAGCTTTCGGCATGTGCTCGGAAACTGAAGCAGGTGCATCGCTAGCTCTCGGTACGTTCATACTCCGCTGAAAGAACGTCAGCTTGGCTTGATTTGGAAAACGCTGCTGAAACATAATAACAGAAGCTGCGAGGACAAGAACAGCGCCGAAGCGTAAAGCAGCCACAATGTACCGCTTGCTCGAGCACATCTGACAGAGCCTGAAAATCGCGTACCGATTGGACTATCAAGCTGACTTCGGGCAGCATGCCAAACACTGCGAGCCAAGACGCAATTAGAGACGATGACAGAGCAACATGTGCAACAGACACAACGATGACAGAGCAACATGATGATAGTATATATTGACCAACAGACGCAACATGGAAGAAACGTGTTACGATGATGGCGGTCAGCACGATGGGGTTGGCGGCAGTGGTCATAAAGACCACGCTGCAGGCGATAATGGAAACAACGTGGCCTGAATGTGTTGTACAACCAGTGCGATGGCAGACAGCAGTGTCAGTAAGGTACTAGCCACCGCGCTGATGCTCCTGCCAGAGCTTGCATGCGAAGCATTGTCAAATTGATGTGGTATCACATGGAAGCTGAACCTCTCAGCGACTTGCACTGTCTCATCCGCTCGCTCCGGTGTCAGGAGCAATTTGCCGATGCCACGTTCGAGGTCCGCCACGGCGCCCCCCAGCACTTTGAGGCGCAATCGAATACCAAGTACTATTAGGCTGAGTTTCTGCAAGTCTTCCGAGACCACCTGCCCTGTTAAGATCGCCTAGATGACCCATCACTGCATGAAGAGCCACCAACCAGCCCCCAAGGAGACCACAAGAGGCGCCAAAAGGGGCCCAAGAAGACACCAACACGCCAAAGAGAAAGCAAAAAAGACCTCCAGGAATATCACTCAAATCCCAAAGGAATCCCGTGCGGCCCCTGGGCACCTCGGCTCAATTAGCTGTTTAATGTGAACGCTAAGTTTCCCCTAGGACTGTGCGGGCTTTCCCGCTCTCCTGCTCCTGCCCTAGCTCATGCCTTCCTCTCCCGCTCCCCCTTCTCGGGCTCAAGCCTCTCTGGGTCAAGCCGGGGGTCCGCCGCGCTTGCCCCAAGACCAGGCTCTCCAAAGGCAACCGGGGGCCTGCAAAATTCCAGGAGGCCCCGGAAGCTGACGCGGGGCGGCGCCACACCGCGCCGCGCAGCGCTCGGCCGCCTCCAGGAGACCCCGCGGCCCCGGCTGGCCGCCGCTTCTGGGCAGGCGGGAACGGTCGGCCGCTGCGCGGCACCGGCAACAGCCCGCCGCACAGCATCGCTGGCCACCCATCTCCTCGCCGCCCTGGCGAACGCGAGGGGGGCAAAGCCGGCCCCACCAGTCCGCCGAGCCGCGGGCTGCTGGTGATCGGGCCCGCGCTCGGCGGGAGCCCGCTGGGCGGCGCCTGGGGTCTGCACGCCGGGGCCCAGCTCGGGCACCGATCGTTCTCGCAGGACGACGCGGATCCAAACAGGCGACGTCCTGATTTTTTCAAAACGGGGCCCCTGGAAATCCCGACCCCTTCCCCGTGACCGGCTCTTAATCCTGAGTCCTTTTTCCATGGTCCCGAGGCCCAGCGAAGGCTCCCACAGGGCCGAAAACGGCTACAAATTTCCCGTCCTGTTTTTTTTACGACGCGATCATGTCTAGGACTCGTTTTCGCACGACGACACGGAGGTCGCCGAGAAGCACGAAGAAGAGGGGGACAGGCGCGCCCGGGTGCGCCGCCAGCGGGAAAAATCCCCTTGCCGGCGCGCCCCTTGGGCCGCCCGCCCCAGCCATGAGGACGGACCCCAACCTCGCTCGACCCACCCCATCCGCCCCAGAGGTCGCTTGGGTCGCGCGGAATCTTGGAAGAACGACACGGATGCACCTCAGCGCCCGCGCGGCGGGCCCAGCCCGAACACCAGGCGCAGCGCGGCGACCTGGCCAGGCGCATCGCCCCCGACCCCCGCGGGCCCGCAGGCGGCGACCTGGAGAACCAAGGGGGTAGAAGGTTGGGCCTTTGAGACCGCTGAGCATATCGCAAGCGCCTTCTCCATGCAGCAGGAAACAGGCTGGCTCAGCAAGGACGGCGGCTGGCTACTCTACATCACAGACCGTGGGGGCGTTTACCTCTTCGGCGCCGCGTGGCCGCTGGTCGCAGGGCTCGGACAGATCCTGGGCCTCACTAGCCCTGACGGCGCACAGTCTGAAGACCATCTTCGCCCCTTGCAGCTGGTGCGTCTAGATGATCAGCGGGACCTTCAGCCTCCGCGCCTGTCCGAGGCGATCGCCCGGCGAGGCCGAAGCGGGCGCGCTGCCCACCTGGGCCGCTCCCACGGCCGCAAGATCCGCCGACCCCCGAGGCGTGTGCGGACAAACTCCTAGCTTGAGCGAACCACTTGCGACCAGTGAGGACAATCCACCCCCCCATCGACACCCCCAGGCCTTTCCCCGACCCCACGATTTCTGCACCAAAAACGACCAACGCCACCACCAGGCCTCCACCTCGCACCCCTCCCGCCTCGACGTCTCATGCCTCTGGGCTCTGCTCTTGAGATCTCTCGACCCCACAATTCCTCACACAAAAAGACCGACACCCCCCACCTGGCTCCACCTCGTCCCGCCCCCTCCCGTCGACATCCCCAAGCCTCTGGGCTCTGTTCTTAGGAACTTCGACTCTGCGGGTCGCGCATGCCCCCCCGTTCACTAGCGCTTTGGAGCTCCCCGTCCATATGCAATTTTCACTTCCTACAGCTTGGATCATGATACGTGGCCCCCGAGGCCCCCGGGGGGTGCTCGGTGTCCGTCGCGGACTCCGTCGCGAATCTAGGCGCGGACTTTAAGGCGCGGTCACAGCAAGGGTACCCCCGAGACGCCCCCCCCCCCTCCCACCCCAAAAAATCACCTCTGCGCGGGCATATGGGACGACGGGGGGCCACGAACCCAGAATTCCCGCCTTCCGCCGAAAGCACGTCCCGGGAAACCCAAGCAACACCCAGAACGGCGGCGATGCAGCACGTGGTTCGTCGCACGCACTCCTCCGCTGGGCGCAGAGCACCTTGCACCTTGCCGGCAAGCGAACGTACACTGGCAGATGCGCGGATGGAAAGATACGCACCGGCAGAAGGAACGCCTTAACCCCGCCGTCGCAATCCCTGAGAGAAATACACAGGCCGAGCGAACGAGCCCAGTGCTGACACCATGTGCTGATACGCGGTGAATGCGCATCGCCCTCGTGGACATTCTCACACCGGTCCCGGCGCCGAGACAGGGGGGCCCCGAGGCGCCCAAAACGACACGGGAGACCGGCTCGGCAGACAAGCAGAACAGACCACCGACGCCCAATCTGCACGCGCTCCGGACACGCACCTCGCGAAGCGAAGGGAATCCCCTCCGCGCGGGCCACAACCTGCCCACGTAAGCGCCGTCACGCCCCCACCCATAGAATATCCACAGCCTCGCAAGCAAGAGCGACGACAGCTGTCATTGGAACCCACTGAACCGCAGGAACACACGCGATCTCATGATGCACCAAACCCTGCACGCACTAGCGACGCCCATCACGCCACCCACACGCGCACACACAAGACTCCACTAAGCACCCTGACACAGCTGTAAGAACCACCACAACACGACTGCTTATCCAGAGAGAGAGCAGGACAGGCAAAAGGAGGGAATGGATCCAGGTTTAGGGGCATAAGAGGCTCCCAGAGAATAAGCCACCCTTGCGCGGACACACGGTGAAAGCTCATCGCCGTCGTGGAAATTCTCAAGCTCGCCCCGGCCCTGATACGAGAGGACCCCGAGGAGGGAGGCACAACACAGCAGGCTGGCGCCGCAAACCAGCAGGGCAAGCCACCACAGCCCAATCTTGACAGGATCCAGACGTGCACCCCGAACATCTGGCGCCCCCAGAAAACTGAGCCGGCTGGCTCAACACAATGCTCGGCCTCCGGAAACTCGTTTAGGTTCCCGCGTCTATTTGCATGTGTTTGTATGTATGTATGCATGCATGTATGCATGTACGTACGTTCGTACGTACGTATGTAGGTATGTCCGTACATGTACATGCATACGTGGATGTATATACACATATCAGAAGATAAAATTCCCCCTGCACCGGGACACGCCCGACTTAAGGAAAGCGCCGGGCGGCGGGGCCGCAACCAGCTGCGCGCACTTTCTCGTCCGATCCGAACCCCAGGCCCACGCTCGGCGGCATACACGCCTTCCCGGCGAAGCCTCTCCGGGCGCGCGCGCCCCCCGGGGGCCAAGACTGGCCGCCCCTGGGGCCGGCGCAGATCTGCCAAGGCATCCAACCCGGACCCCCTCAAACAATTAAAAAATCACGACGGGATGTTTCTCGCTACTTTCGGCCTCCGAGGGCCGCTACCAGGCCTCGGGACCGTCAAAAAAAACGACTCGGGATGGAAAGCCGGTCCCGGGGAGTGGGTCTGGACATCTGGGGGTCGCGTCCTGAAAAAAATCCTTGCGCAGGGGGTCTGGGACGTCTGACTTTTTTCTGCGCGCGGTCCTCGCAAGCCTCGACCCCTCCCCCAGAGCTGACTCCCCCCCCCGAAGCCCCGGGGCCCGGCGAGGGCCCCCGGAGGCCGAGAGCTGCATGCGCTTCTCTTCCATGCTCTGGAGAACGGGGTCGGCGCTGCGCGCCCTCTCTGTGGATGCCTGGCGCCCCCCCGCCGCGCTTTCTGAAAACGCGGGCCGCTGCCCGAAGTCCGCGTCTGGCGCGTCTGGCGCGCCCGGCGCCCGCCACGTGCACCGCGCTTCGCGAGCCACGGCTCGAGCGCTCTCGGAGTGACGGCGCGCGGGGGCTGCGCAAAAGTGCGGCGCGGCACCGCCAGAGCGGCGGCGTCGATGCGAGCAGGAAGAGTCAGGTGGTGCCAGAGGTGGTCTTGGCCCAGGGTGCCCCTTGCTTGTCGCGCCACTTCGGGGCCGCTGGGGCCCCCTGGGCCTCGTGATGGCGTGCTCTGGAAGCCATCTGCGTCTCCATAAGAGACTTGGAGTCACCTTGGTCCAG